GGAGCAGGTAAGTGGGACGAGTTTAGTTTGGGATTATGTTCGCTTGGACTGGTTGGACCAAAAGGTCTGCTTCTGTGCTGTATGACTCTATGACTCTATTTATAGAATGTATGGATAGCCCATACCCTCTGTAATAGCCTTTGAGATTGCAACAATGTTGTCACTATATTAGTCTTGTCTACTATGCAAACAATTCAATGGCATCTGATCTGTGTGTGTTAGCATATGCACCGGAAATGTTCTATGCTGAAGATGCACTTCAGTAGGCACTTGACCATTTACCACCACTGAGATCTGTATCACCTACAAAATATGCTGGACAACAATATAATTTGACAACAAAGAGTCAGACCTTCATTCCAACTAGTCCACGACGACCACATTCCCAAACAAAACTAGTCACTTACCTGCATTTGGCCCATATCCCTCCAAACCTTTCCTATTCATGTACTTATCCAAATATCTTTTAAATGTTGTAACTATAGACCATAAGACATAGGTGCAGAAATTAGGCCATTCAGCCTGAGTCTACTCTGCCTCAATCATAGCTGATAAGTTTCTCAACCCCATTCTCCTGCTTTCTCCCCATAACCCTTGATCCCCTTGACAATCAAGAACCTATCTATCTCTATCTTAAGTATACTCAATGACCTGGCCTCCACAGCCTTTGTGGCAATGAATTCCATGGATTCACCACTCTCTGGCTGAAGATGATTCTCCTTATCTCTGTTCTATAGGGTCTTCCCTTTACTCTAAGGCTGTGCCCTCAGGTCCCAGTCTCTCCTACCAATAGAAACATCCTTCCAACGTTCACTCTGTCCACGCAGTTCAGTATTCTGCGAGTTTCAATGAGATCCCCCCCTCATCCTTCTAAACTCCATCAGGTATAGACCCAGAGTCATCAAACGTTCCTCATAGGTATGGTCTTTCATTCCTGGGATCACTGTCGTGAACCTCTTCTGGACCTGCTCCGGGGCTAGTACATCCTTTCTGAGGTACGGGGTCCAAAATTGCTCACAATACTCTAAATGTGGTCTGATCAGAGCTTGATAAAGCGTCAGAAGTACATCCATGCTTTTATATTCTAGTCTTCTGGAAAGAAATGCCAACATTGTATTTGCCTTCCTAACTACCGACTCAACCTGCAAGTTTACCTTAAGAGAATCCTGGACGAGTCCTCCCAAGTCCCTTTGCACATCAGATTTCTGAATTTTCTCCCCATTTCGATAATAGCCTATGCCTCTATTCTTCCTACCTCACACTTTCTCATATTGTAATCCATCTGCCACTTCTTTGTCCACTTTCCTAACCTGTCTAAATTCTTCTGCAGCCTCCCTGCCTCCTCAATATTACCTGTCCCTCCCTCATTCTGTGTATCATCTGCAAACTTAGCCAGAATGCCCTTAGTTCCTTCATCTTACATTAATGTACCCTCATCCACTGCTCAGAGTATAAAAGTTGCCCCATATGTCCCTTTTTTAAAAAATTTTCTCCTCTCACCTTAAAAATATGCCCCCTAGTTTTGAACCCCCTAACCTACGGAAAAGACACTTGCTATTCACCTTAACTATGCCCTCATGATTTTATAAAACTCTATAAGATCACCCCTCAACCTCCTACGCTCTAGTGAAAAAAATCCCAGCCTATTAATAGAACTCAAACTCTCCATTCCCTGTAACATCCTGGTAAATCTTTCCTGAACCCTCTCCAGTTTAATAATATCCTTTCTGTAGCAGGGCGACCAGATTGCACACAGCACTCCCGAATTCACCAATGTCCTGGACAAACTCAACATGACATTCCAACTCCTATACTCAAAGTCTGAGCATTGAAGACAGCATGCTAAACACCTTCTTAACTACCCTGTCAACCCTGTGATGCAAATTTCAAAGAATTATGTACCTGAACCCCTACATCTCTCTGTTATGCAACACTACCCAGGACCTCACCATTAATTCTATGGCCACTCATTAGCCCATTGACACAATTGATCAAGACCTCTTTGTAAACTTAGATAACCTTCTTCACTGTCCACTATGCCATAAATTTTGGTGTCATGGCAAATTTATTAACCATGTCTCCTATATTCTCATCCAAATTGGCTATAGAAATGACAAACAAAGTGGGCCCTGTGGAACACCGCTGGTCACGGGCCTCCAATCTGAAAGACAACCCTCCACCACTACCCTCTGTCTTCTACCATAAAGCCTATTTTACATCCAATTGGCAAGCTCACACTGAATCCCATGTGATCTAACTTTACTAATGAATTTACCATGCAGAATCTTCTCAAAGGCTTTACTAAAGTCTATGTAAATAACATCTACCCCTCTGCCCTCAATCTACTTAGTTACTTCCTCAAAAAAACTCAATTAATTTTCAGAGACATGATTTCCCTTGCACAAAACCATGCTGACTATCCCTAATCAGTCCTTGCTTCTCCAAATGCATGTAAATCCTATCTTGCACAATCACCTCCAACGACTTACCCACCACGGAAATCAGGCCCACAGACCTATAATTCCCAGGCTTCTCCTTACAGCCTTTCTTAAATAAAGGAACAACATCAGTCACCCTCCAGTGCTCCGGCACCCCACTTGTAGCTACAGATGATACAAATGTTTCTGCTGGCGTCCCCACAATTTCTTCTGTAACTTCCCACAATGTCCTGGGATATAACAGATTATGTGCAGGACATTTATCCACCCTTACGTTTTCTAAGACTTCCAGCATTTCCTCTTCCACACTGTGAATTGTTTTCAAAACATCAATATTTATTTCCTCGAGTTCTTTAGCCTCTATTTCTTTCTCCATAGTAAAAATTGACGTGAAATAATCATGTGGTAGCTCTACCATCGCCTAAGGTTCAAAACATAGACAACCTTGTTGATCTTTAAGGGGCCCTATTGTCTCTCTCGTTGCTCTTTTGCTCTTAATGTATTTGTAGAATCTCTTTGGATTATCCTTAACTGCCAAGCCCCTCTCATATCCCTTCTTTGTCCTTCTGATTTCCCTGTTAAGAATGCCCCTACACTCTTTATATTCTTCAAGAGATTCACTTCATCCCAGTTGTCTATATCTAATATATGATAAAATCTCACAAATATGCAACTTCTACCATCTGGAATGACGAAGACAGCAAAGTTTTTGTCTCTTTTAAAATGATCAGAAAAAATGAAACACACATAAACCCACAGTTTTTAAACTATGCATCAGCTTCTGACAAGCTAAACAGCAAGCCTCTCCATCCACTTAAGGTCAGCAAATGACCCTGCTATTTTAATCACATATCTGTTGCTTCCTCTCTTGAAGATTATAAAGTAGTTCTGAAGCAGTTAGAAATATCCATTTAAACTTAATTATAGTTTACATTAGCAATTTTCAGCTTGTTCAATTATTTGACTTCCACAGAATAAATTTAAAAATTCATTCTAACATTGCCTCATGCATTGCATTAGATGAGCCCAAAAGGCAATTTTAAAGCCAATTCTTCTGTTTTGGATACTCCTCATTCTGCACAGAAGCTTTTAGTTAAAAGTAAAGTACAAAATATTTTTTCACATACAGTTCTCTCAGAAAAATAACATTTTATGATAGCACTAATACTGTTCTGTCATCTGTAGATAAAAGCTTTTAGATTAGCCTAGCATTTCAAACTTTGAATTCTCCGGTGTAATTTCTGACAAAATTATAGATAAGTGTCATAGTAAAATGTTCCAAATTCTTGAGTATAACTGATAGCAAAAGACAAATGAAAAAAAGCAATCAATGCATCATTATAGTTTACTCAAATTCACAAAGTGACTATACATTAAAGTTGTATCAATATTTACTGAGGTTTGAACTGTACAATAAAGAAATTCAAATCCAAATCTGACTGATATTTTGGAAAAATATATTAAAATGCAGTTAAACTATAAAGTACAATTAAAATTTAAAAAAAGTTTTGGGCCCCATTTAGCTCAATGATTGTTTAACATAAACATTTCCATATTTAAGTTAAAATTGGCATCTAAAGATTAAGGCAAGATGAACTTTGCAAATTCATAGAATTCTATGGAAGCAAGCCATTTGGACTATCAAGTCCACACCAACCTGCCGAAGAGTATCCCACCCACATTCCCTTCCCTACCCTACACCTGTAATCCTGCACTTCCTTTGGCTAATCCACCAAGCCTGCACATTTCTGGACACCATGGGCTATTCAGCATGACCAATCCACCTCACCTGTACACCTGCACTGGAGATCACAGTGGGTCAGGCAGCATCCATGGACAGAAAGCAAGCTAATGTTTCATGTCTAAATGACTTTTCATCACAGATCTGATGAAGAGTCATCTACACTGGAAACATTAGCTTGCTTTCTCTCCATGGATGCTGTCTGACCCGCTTTGATCTCCAGCAATTTTTGTTTTTGCTTCAGATTCCAGCATTTGTAGCACAGTAATTTGCTCCGAACCTGTACATCTATTTGTGTTAATTATAAATAGATTAGAATGGAATTATTGTAAATTCAGAAAGCTCTTCGGAGCTTTCCTAATAAAGAAGAATAGCCACGCAAGTGAACAATGACTTACATAAGTTATTCCGCTGACATCCAATTTGAAACAGAATCTGATCAGTATGTGATTTCACTCTGACTACAGCTCACAAATCAAACCTCCGTCAAGAGTTAATGTTGATGATAACACAACTATGACCGACTGTTACTCATATTAGCGAGAAGTTCCCGTCCTCAATCCGCAAACTGTTGTTTTAGTTTGTAAGTTAAAAACTGTTTTAGCCTACTGTCAAGTTATCACGCTGCATGTATAATAAACGTCGTGGTGGTCGGGAGAGCCTTGAATTGGGAGCATGCCGCCGAGTTTTAGGCATGTTGCTGTGTGATTTTGTGTGGGACATGGCAGTGGTGCTGAATGGAGAGAAATGGTTGAAATAACCAAGGAGGAGTGGATGTTTTTTTTGGGTTGATAACCTCCCCACCCCACGCCTGCCATCACCTTGGTCAGCTGCGCTATCTTTTTGCTCATCTTCAGGTGCAGCTCCTGGTTGTACTGGGCAGCTCCTCCGGCCTGGCCCGCTTTGCCGGCGCCGCCGCTGTAATGTTGCTGCCAACTGACTCCGGTCGCCATCTTCCGCTTCGAGCCCAGCAACGACCGACACGAACGGACCGGCGGCTCCGGGACCGGGTGTAGGCTGGGACACTCCTCACTTCCCCGGCCGAAGGCAGGCAACCACTAACCGGGCAGCGGCCCGCTGCAGCTGGTGACTCGGAGCCGGAGCTCCCGGGGTCGGTATCCTCGCCATGGTCAAAGAGCGCACATCATTATCATCGCCGCCGCCTCCCTGAGCCCGACAGGCCAAGGCCGGTACCGGAGCCGCCGCTGATGTTGTTGTTATCGTTTCTCCCCCGACACACACGCTCGTGCCGTTACCATGGAGCACGCCGACCGTTTACACACGTCACTTCCGGTACCTGCCCCCACCCTCAAAGACCTGATCGAGGGAGAGACGGTGCATCGAGTCGGGGTAATGCCGGGGAAGGAGGGTAGGGAGTCGGTTCATCCAGGCAGTGTGTTGGCACTCCGTGCATTGAGGGGATCGCAGTCGGAGTCGGTGCATTGAGTGTATTCGGTTCATCGGGACGAATGTGGAGGAGCGGCAGTGCAAAACCCGCGGGGTTGGGGGGGTTTGAAGCATTAGGAGCATTGAAACTGTACCGGGCTGTTGGTGCATTGGAGTGAAGCTGAAGGAACTGGATGGGGACAGTGCGTTGAAGTTGGCGCATCTGGGATGGAAGGGAATGGCATAAGGGGTAGTTGGAGGGAGTGCGTTGGTACATCTGGTGGTGCATGTGGAGATGCAGTGGAAGTTGGTGCTTCGGGGTGGGGTGAGAATGGAGAGGAAGGAGGGATGTTGCTGCAGTTGTGGGAGGACGGTTTGGTGCATTTGGTGGGGGGAGGAGAGGTTTGGTGCAGCGGGGGACGGGTGGGTTTGGTTCATCTAGGGTGAGGTTTGGGGTGCAAGAAAGGCTTGATGGATCGGGAGAGACGGTGAGTTGGTGCATTTGAGGAGGGGAGGGGAGTAGTTTTGGTGCATCGCGAGGACGGGTTGCATGATAGCACATTGATGTTGTTACGAGCAGCCAGGATTTCATTCATATCCATGTGGTTTCCACCAGTCACAAAGTGCCTCAAAGTTGTGGTAGACACGTCATCTCACCCTGTCAGAGCCAGACAACGTGCAAATGCGAGTGTAGCATGGGTAAAAATGGTTTTCAGTTTTTGGTACGCAGTGCTTTGAACTAAAATAAATCATTGACGCCCCCACCCCCGCTTTCTTCTTTTGTCTGATGCTCCCTACTGGCCAGTAAAATTGGTTATTGGTTGGTTAATCCTAAAGAAGGATACAAGTATGACAAAAAATCCATTAAATACTGTAGTAAAAATCACTATTTAACTGAAGTGGGAGTTCTCTGACATTGCTGGGTGCTTTGAGGTAACAAGTACTGCAAATAATACTGTCCCAGAAATTATAGGAATCACACAACTTGAAGCAAGTGACAGTGTTTTGATCTTTTGTTGTGGCTCTCAGATATTTTTTGTATCACAAGTTGCTCCAAGAGCAAATTGATAATAACAATGTTATAGAAATAAAACAATCTTTGAAAAATATTTTGGATCTGTCTTCTCCATCTCTGTCATTCTTTTCTCCTGTCCTGATTTTCAGTCATCAGGCCATGGACTTCCCTTGGGTTTGTCCGTGCTTATACCCAGAATGTTGCAGTGCTTTGCGATTGCCTTGAGCAGGATTAACTTGTCTGACCAGGTTACAAGTCCACCTTCCATCCTTAACAAGCCCTAAGATGGGACTCAAACCCAGAGCTGTCCCAAAGGTATGCATACTACCATGAATCACATAATCTTCTGTCTTTACAGTAGAAGATTTGTATAGCATTCCAAGAATATTAGAAAATTAGGTGACAGAAGAAAAGGAGGAACTTAAAGCAACCACTGGCACCAAAGGAAAAGTACTAGGGAAATACGAGTCAAGAAATAGGACCAGGAGTATTCCATAAGGCCCCTTCAGTCTATTTGGAGGAAAGGCTGACAAGTGTCCTGGACCTGATAGCTTGCACCTTAGGCCTGTAAAGGGAGTGGCTGCAGAATTAGTACATGTATTGCTTACGATTTTTAAATTTCCTTGGATTCTGGAATGGTACTAGCAGATTGGAAAACTGCAACCATAATACCCTTATTCAAGGAGAGAGGAAGAAAGAAAACAGGTTACTACAGGTCAGTTTGCCATGACATTTATCATGGGGTATTATTCAGGAAGCAGTAGTGTTTAAGCACTTAGAAAATACAGGTTGCTGACACCCACAACCCAGTCAAGGGGCCACGCAGAGAGGGCCCCAGATTTGAGGATCAGGGCTAAAAAAGATGTAGGATCTGGGGTGGTCGTCAAAAAGGACATGGGGACTGGGCAAAGAGGGCCTAGAGGCCCTCTCGCGCCCCAGTCTCTGTGTGCTCTGTCTGTCACCCCTGCATCCCTGGCTATGTTCAGCCCGGAACCATTTGAATGCATAGACATGATTTCAGTGAATGCAGCCCTTTAGAAAATCAAAGCACAATCAAGAACATAGTTTTATGAAAGGAAATGTGTGTTTGACAGATTTACAGTTTGACAGAGAATATAAAGAGCCGGAAGGATAAAGAAGAAATAGCACGTGTGATGTAGTTGACTTTCCAAAGATCATTCAAAGGGGTGCCAATTAGTAGGTTACTTTGCATGATATAGAGCTATCAGTGTTAGAATCACAGAGTCATGCAATACAGAAGAGGATCTTTGGCCCATCGAGTCTGTTTCACCAAAAATACATGACAACCTACACTAGTCCCATTTTCCTGCACTAGGCCTGTAACTTTGAAGGTTATGATACCTCAAGTGTTAATCCAAGCACTTTTTAAAGGTTGTGAAATTTCCTGCATTAACTATCCTCCCAGGCAGTGCAATCAAGACCCCCACCATCCTCTGGGTGAAAAACAATTTCCGCAAAACCCCTTTAAACCACCTGCCTCTCAATTTAAAAGAGTGCCGTCTTGTTCGTGACCCTTCAACTAAGGTAAACAGCTGCTTTCTGGTCACCCTATAATCTTATACACTTCTATCAGGTTCCCCCGCTCAATCTTCTTCGCTCTAAAGAAAACAACCCAAGCTTATCTAGTGTCTCTTCATAGCTCAAATGCTCCATCCCAGGTAACACTCCAATGACTCTCTTTTGTACTCCCTTCCTGCTCTTTATATTCTCAAAGAACTGAAGTGAATCTTGCAATCAAGTCCTTCCTATAGCATGGTGACCAGAACTGGACACAGTAATCTGGCTGTGGCCTAATCACCTTTGTCTAAAGCACCAGTTCACACACAATTTTCATTCCAAGCATAGGGTTTGGGTGGCAGATGTGGGACAATGTTGGGCTCCCTGACCCTAGAAGCAGATTCTTGTTAGCCACAGGGGTTAGGGTAGCTGAGGTCAGCTGACTAGAATAAATGGCTAATTTCTCTAGACTTTATTTCAGTTGTAATAAAAGCCATTAGCCCCTCTTGTCCTCAATCCTCACAGCATCTCACCATGTTCCCTCCATGGTAACTCAATGCCAATTCAAGGGCAGACCATGAAAATAAACAATAATCTAAAAGGTCTTTCACTCTCTACATTTGAAAGTTTAAAAAATTCTCATTCATGAAGCCCATTAAAGTTGTTTTGAACAAAAGTGGTTAATCTAATCTCAGAAAAGCAAACAAATTTCAATCAGATCTCACATCAAAAAAAGTTGTTATTAACACTGTTTAAACTGTCTGTCGAACTGGGAAGCTGGACAAGTCTGCATAATGACAAAATAATAGTCTTTAGAGTAATCTCAACAAAAACTGCAGATATAGAAGCTACATCAGCTGACCTATCAATCAAAGCAATCTCACACAGCAAACTAGCAAATGTCTTTTTTGAAACAATCATGGGCAACCCCAGCCAGTGCTTTCCAAGGTTTAATGAGTGAGAGATCTAAAAAAGAGTTAGCAGGTAATCCGATCTTATTCGTCGTTCAAGAGTGTTTATGTCTAGTCCATGAATATGTCACCTGTCAAAAAAGAGGGACATTTGCATCTGAATCCCACCCGCCATTTGAAAGGTCCACAGAGTATTTCTGGGATTTTCTGTGTTTCGTTTAAACACAATAATACTATTTTGGAAGGGATGCTGGAACTTAGAAACCTGGGAAAATACTCTCACAAGTCTTGAAAGTGACAGGACAAATTGAGAAGGCTTAAAATTAGCATATGGAATCTCTGGCCTTTGTATAGAGACATAGAGTACAAACACATGAAAGATATTATAAAGCACTGCTTAGGCTCCAGATCAACAAAAAAGAAATTAAAAGCATTTCAGAACTTTTGGGAAAGACCAGGGAGTAGAACTAAATTGAACATTTTTCAAAGGGAGATAGAGGGAAAATAGGTCAGATGTCCTCCTTCTGTGGTGTACAATTCGAAAAATTATGGAGCAAATTGCAAGGGACACATCTGTTCCAATTTTAAAGAGTTTGTGGATACAGTGGATGTGAGCACTGAACTGGGCAGTGAACTCAGTGGGTCCAAGAAAATGAAAGGCCAGCATCATTAGAATTGTTTCATGGGATGTGGGCATCATTGGCAAGGCCTATAAATGCCTGGATGGAACTATCATGTGTTCATTGACCAGGAGCTGAAATGACAGGTAGATACTAACACAAATGCACAGAGTTAATGAGAGGGGGGAAACAGGAGATGATTGCAAGTGGATCAGCAAGCCTGAGACAAGGAAGGTCCACATGAGGCCCAAAGGGTGACTCCTATTTGCATGGTCCACAAGGAATCCTAACCTTAAAATTAATTCCTTTCTTTCTTCTGGCTAATGATCCACCAACTAGCAATGATGGCCTCTTGAGGAAATTATCATTCCCTTCTCCTGGTCTGGGAAATTTAGATTTCATTTGGGTTATTAAGTTGGTTTTGGTTGCCTTATGTAGTGAATAATGTAGAGGCCATGCAGAAGGTTCAAAATAGGATCATCAGTTTAAATCCTCAGTTATATCAATAGGCTGAGATGGTTGTTTACTTGGAGCTGGCAAAATGGTTAAAGGATTGGGCTATGCTTGTGCATGGATTATTTTAAAGTAGATAGATAGGTTAGGAAACAAGGGTTGTTATAACAAAATTAAAGAACATCAGTATGGCCTGCACTGCATTTTTTATTGAACTGACTCTAACATGAATGCCTGCATTTAGCATGCTTTATGGTAGGGGTCACGTGACTGTGGCAAGCCAGGAAGGATATTTGTACATGATTGCATTTCAATTCAACCATCCCTC